TTTTCTTAGTAGCTGGGTGATGTATTGGGTAAAAGGAACTGCTGAAATTGGCCTTTAGTAATATGGTGGTAAGGTATTGAAAGAGAAGTGTTCTATGGTCCTATGATTAGGTCTCCGTCTTTAAGTGAGCAGGTGCCTCTGGACTGTGAACTTCACAAACGCCTCTCAGTCCCCTCCCTTAGGTGGAACAAGAAGGCTAGAGTGGATTTGGGCATTTCTCTCCTCCCAGGTTGGTTAGGCTCTGACAAAACCCTAATGGGTTAAGTAAGTTCTGGTTAAACAGTTTCTTCTGAGAGCAGACCTTGTTAAGAACAGAATGCTCTGGTATATTTCAAATGGCTACTTTTCTTCTCTGCCTGCCAGAAGCAGGAAGAGATTTTTCTCCGATATTCATTGTGAGAACCTCCTCAAGCTTCTGAAGGTAAAACAGAGTCTCCATGGATTTTTTTTTTTTTAATCTCTTAGACTTGACTGAGACTTTAGTCAGACTTCAGGCAGAAGCTGAGTCGTCCAGTGCAAATTTGTGAACAGGGTCCAGACGTAAATGAACACCTTCCTGGAGGGATTCACAGAACTGCTTTCTATTGACTTGATTAAAATTTTTGATAAAAATGAGCTGGAGCTGCTGACATGCTACCTTGGCAACGTGGACATGAATGACTGAGAGACAACATTCTATTTACAGGAGTGGCTAATGCCCAAACCATCCTGTCATTCAGTCGTTCTAAGAGGCTGTTCTGCTGAGCGGGGCTGAGAAGCGTGTCCAGTTACTACAGTTTGTCATGGGAACATCTCAAGTACCTGTCTATGAATTTGCCTTATTGTTTGGTCCCAGAGTTTCTCAGCTGTTTACAATAGAGCAACAGTGGAGTTCTGAAAAACTGCCCAGAGTTCACAGCTGCTTTAATTGCCTTGACTTACCTCCATATGAAACCTTTGAAGATTTATGAAAGAAACTTCCCAATGCTGTGGAAAATGCACAAGGATTGAAGAGGTGGATTAAGTACTCCCTGGCTCAGAGTGGTTGCTAATAGAGTAAGTCCTGCTTGCATTTTTGTGTTTGCCTAACAGACTTCACAGAGACAATGGCAGAATAACAGTTTCACAACAGTTTCACAACGTGACTACTGGAACAGTCTTCCCCCATGCACTTGCCCAACTGCAGAGGTGGGAAATCAGCCCTAGTTCACATTCCTGCATTTTTCTACTCTAAATTATCAACTGGATGATATGTACAGTAATTAGATTTTCAGAAGGACTTTGGCTATGTTGTGCTTTTGTAGGCAAAGCCCTTAATGAATAGTTTACTTACTTAAAAAAGAAAAGCTCGCAAAATCAGATAAAAACAGGGAGACAAACCATAAGAGACTTAGATACAGAGAACAAACCGAGGGTTGCTGGTGTGGTGTTGGGTGGAGGGGATGAGCTAAATGGGTGATGGGCATTAAGGGGGGCACTTGTTGGGATGAGCACTGGGTGTTATACGTAAGTGATAAATCACTAAATTCTATTCCTAAAATTGTTATTATATTCTATGTTAACTAACTTGGATTTAAATTAAAAAACAAACGAAAAGAAAAAAACTCTCAGTGACTCTGTGACTCTCAGACACTAAGCTCTATCAGGTGGTCAATTACAGTTCAGGATTCCCCACCCTGGTAAATTGTGATTCTCTGCATTTGCCTGTCTGCCTTTTCAATTTGGGGGACAGCAGTTTGCCCCGTGACCTCACATCTCTTACTGATCTAAGAAGAATTGTTGATTTATCAGTTTGTCCAACATTTTACTTGTTAGGATAGAACGGTAACTGCCAAGCTCTTTACATGCCAGACCCACCCACTTCTTTTTTCATTTAATAATACATCATATGTTTACTTTATCCATGTCAATAAATATCCTAAAATCTAAGCATTTGTTTTGGTGAATATTTAGATCCTCCACCCTCTCTTTTTTTGGCTACTCAAAATGTTTTAAGCACAAATGAGTACAAATTCTGCTTGTTTTAAAACCTGATTATAATTTTTTAATGTTTTATTTATTTCTGAGAGAGAGAGATAGCATGAGCACGGGAGAGTCATAGAGAGAGGGAGACACAGAATCCGAAACAGGCTCCAGGCTCCGAGCTAGCTGTCAGCACAGAGCCCAACGCGGGGCTCGAACCCACAAACCATGAGATCATGACCCTAGCTAAAGCCAGATGCTTAACTGACTAAGCCACCCAGGTACCCCAAAACCTGATTATAATCTTTATCAGTCACTTTTTGTTCCTCTTATTTGCAATAAACACCACAGGAAGTTTAGATTTTATATGTAGAAAACAATTTCACTCACACCATGCATTTCATTAGGTCCTATCTTCAGTCTCAATGAACATTTCCAAGCATAGCCAATTTGCTTTCACAACTACTTGCTAGACATGTGCAGTCAATATCCATCTGCTAGGAGGATAGAGGATTGATTATCATTGTCAAGGACTAACTCAGATGTTAGTTGGATGTCTGAATGCTAGTTTTTTCATACTTGAGAGAGATTGTCATTAGACTACTGTCAACAAAGGCAAAAGTCAGGATATTACAAAAAAGAGAAACAGGAAGGGAGAAAAATAAGCACACAGTATGGGGAAGGTGAGAGTTTATTCCTGATTAAATTAGTTGGAGGGCATCAAAGAGACCAATATGGGAAGTCCAGTGTTGAGCAGGCTAGCTAAGTCATCTGGGAACACAATTGCAGGTATTTATGACTTTTCTGAAAAGCCCTTAGAGTTTGGCCATGGAGCATGTGTGACAAGTTGTCTATTGTCTGCCAGTGTGTCCTTAGCATCATCACTTTAGGTAAGCCAGGTTTGTGCTATTTGTTTCTCTCATGAGAATTTCTCATTCCCCCTCTTTGGTCAAAGTAGCTTTCAAAGGAATGGATTCAACCATGAAGATTTCATTCTGTTTTTGAGACAATATTTTCAGTTGGATGTCGACTGGGGATAATGGACCTATAACATTTAATTATTCTGATATTTAACGGTGGAAACAGACAACAAGTCTGAGGAAAATCACAAATCCATAAGGAACAAGGGGTGGCTAGCCAACTCAGTCCGTAGAGCATGTGACTCTTGATCTTGGAGTTGTGAGTTCAAGCTCTACGCTGGATGTAGAGATTACTCACATAAATAAATAAGAAAAAAATTTTTAAGTCTAAAAAAACCTCCTAAAACAAATCCATTAGAAACACTTGGCACCAGGTTTTTATCCAGGTTTTGTTTATGCATTTATACATTTATGTGGTAAGTATGGTGATACTATCTAATTACATAAGAATAGTTTAGTATGTGCATGTTGAGGAACTAGAAAATGTTGTTTATTGTAAACATAGCAAATTTCTGTCCACATATATTTGGACACCCCAAGGCCTACGTCATTTTAACACTAACGGGCACATAGTAAAGTTTGGAAGTTTATCCTGTGGTTATCTTCTCCTAAGAACTTAACTGAATGACTGTCCTATTAAAAGTTACACATCTTTCAGATACTAATAATTCACAACATACCCCCTGGTACTAGTGGTAAGTGTTATTATCATTTGTAAGTTTAAGGTAACAAATGTATACTTAACCTTAGGCCAGACATTAAAGTCTACATCAAATATATATGTATGGGAGCACCTGGGTCAATTAAGCATCCAACTTGGGCTCAGGTCATGATCTCATGGTACCCTGATTTAAAATCACGGTACCTTGATTTCAGTACCATGATCTCACGGTTCATGGGTTCGAGCCTAGTCAGGCTCTGTGCTGACAGCTCAGCTTCGGATTCTGTGTCTCCTCTCTCTGCCCTTTCTCTCTTAAAAATTAAGTAAACATTTAAAAAATTAATACATATATATGTATGTATGTATACATTAAAGTATAAATACTTTCTTGTTAATTACTCTCTATAGATGGTCTATATATATTCACAGAACGAAGAAGTGGTTTTTTTATGTTAGTGACCAAAATGGTTTCATGTGATCCCCCAAATAATGGCATCTGCACTTTAATACGTTGGCAAGCATATATGACTGCTATATACACTTAGAAATGGTTGGATGGTAAATTTTCCATCATGGGTTTTTTATAATACAAAAAAATTGCTTTAGAATATTATTACATAATGCCTGATAATTATGGAAAAATCAGAAAATACAGACAAGCAAAAAGGAAAATCACCCACAATTCTAACAGCTCAGGTTAACATTTTGTTGCATAAATTATATTTATATATAGGTTCACACTGGATATGCTAGTTTATAACCTGAGTTTTTCAAATAAAGTTTACACTATTTTTAACTTTTTAATTTAAAATCCAGAAGAGTAGGACATTTCTCATTCCTATAAATTCTAAGGCCTTAAAACAGAAGTAAAACTGCATGTTTAAGGATATTTGACCCTCTGTGGATGCTTGTCTTTTTAGGTCCTATGTCTTCAGGAGAAGGAAAGGCTCCTTCACTCCTGGATTGTCTGCCAGCTCTCCTGAGATTTTTCTTTTTTTTCTCTTTAAAAATTTTTTTTAATGTTTATTTTTTATTTATATTTGAGAGAGAGAGTGTGCACAAGAGTGGGGCAGAGAGTTAGAGACAGAATCTTCAGCAGACTCTAGGCTCTGGGCTGTTAGCACAGAGCCCAAGGTGGGGCTCAAACTCACAGACTATGAGATCATGACCTGAACCCACACTGAGCCACCCAGATGGCCCCCTACTGACATTTTTCAGTGGTTCCTTTTAGATAAGACCATACCTCCAGAGGCTTCTGGTACTTCAGGAGATGAGGAGTCGGCCTGCCCCTGGGCAGCTCAGTCACATGTCCAGCCACTGAGATAATGCAAATAAACATCTGAGCAAGTTAATGAGTAAGCTGTTAAGATGAAAGGTCAGGAAACATGCTTTTATCTGGAATGTCAGGATGGGAGGCAACACATCCTGACCTGCAACTTGAGTCCACCTTCTCTGAGGAAAAGACTAAATAAGAAACAACAGAGTCACAAGAGAGCCTTCATTCCAGAAGTGCTCCAGGAATCATGCTGGAGAAGTTCTGCAACTCTACGTTTTGGGTGAGAAATAATACTTATCTTCACTGTTGACTCTTCTCAGACTCAGAACAAATAGTAGATGAGCCTCAAGTGGCCACCAGTAAGAACCAGAAAAGTTAAATGTGCAGGTGGTCTAAAGCTTAAGGTTTTGTTTTGTTGTAGGTTTTTTTTTTTTAAGAAAAAATAAGTCATAATATTTCCAAAGGATATTCTATGTGGAAGAGGTAACATATTCTTTAACATATGTGTATTGTGTCCTAGACTCTTTTTTTTTTGAAAAAAATTTTAATGTTTATTTTATTTTTGAGTTAGAGAGAGAGAGAGAAAATTCCCCGGGCGGTGGCGGGGGTGGGGGTGGGGGGGCTGGGGGGGTGGCTAGAGAGAGGGAGACAGAATCTGAAGCAGGCTCTGAGCTGTCAGCACAAAGCTGGATGCGGGGCTCAAACTCTCAAACTGTGAGATCATGACCTGAGCTGAAGCCAGATGCTTAACCGAGTGAGCTACCCAGGTACCCCTCCTACACTCTTTTCTCAGACTAGCAAAATTGTCTTCTCTAAAGAGAAATAGGGAAAGGCTTCCAATCTCAGCAATGTTAGGAGGGAAAGTTGTTGTGGAGTTTGTGGGGTGGGAGGAAGAAGAGAAGACCCGTGGTTGAGTTTTGTCAAGGCATGCTGAGGTTGAAATGACAGCGATATGTTCTAGAGGACCTGGCAATTAGGGGTGTGGAATGGAAGCTGGGGCCAGGAATGCAGATTTGTGTATCATGAACGCCAAGACAGTTTTTGAACCCTAGAGCAGAGAATTTCAAGGCAGACAGGGCAAGCAATAGTATCAAATGGCTTAGTGAAATAGAAAATGAGAAGGAACCTAGGATTTACTCTTCTGTGAAAGTGTGGTCTGCAAATGCCTAGCACAGCATCAGAATCACATGGAGGGAAAATAGTTTAAATATCTTCGGTTATTCTTCTGAATTCTAAAGTTAGATAACTTGGCAGAGAGATAAGAAGAGAGGGAATGACACAGCAGAGCAGGTGGTTAGCATTCCCATCTTAGAAAGAACCTGGGCCCCGAGGGCCTCAGGCTAGGACCTCTACACACAGGCAGGGCTTAATAGGCCCCAGGATCTTAGCAGGCCATCTTTTTTTTTTTTTTTTTTTTTTTAATGTTTATTTATTCTGAGAGAGAGAGCGTGCACACGAGGAGTATGGGCAGAGAGAGGGAGACAGAGGATCCAAAGTGGGCTCCATGCTGACAGTGGTGAACTCAATGCTGGGCTGGAGCTGATGAACTGTGAGTTCATGACCTGAGCCCAAGTCAGACGCTCAACCAACTGAGCCATCCAGGTACCCCTCAGTAGGGCATCTCTGGAGAATTCTGAGAATATCTGATGGATCCTCTTAGTTAGGACACCTCAATGTTTTCTTTAAAGAGTCTGTGCAAACAAGTATACAAAAACAATTTGAAAATGTTTATAAGGAGATAAAAATCCCCCCTTACAAGACTGGTGTTCCCACCCTCACTTCCCAAGACACTTCTATCTATTGTAAAAAGGAAAGACTACAAACCTGCTGGGAATGAGCCTCCCGTCCAATAGTGCCATCGCAGCTCCTGTGCCCGTGGTCCCCTCAGGTTCCAATCACTATAAGCCCCCTGGCTCAAAGGAGGCTAAATGTCATCGAGTGACTAAAGCATCCTGCTGGCTGCATGTTGGAACATCTGTCAGGGAGCTTAATCGGTGCTAAAAAGTAGAGTCAGAACACGTTTCTATATCCCAGGGAACTATTTGAATTGAAGAACAGTCCATTCCTCTTCAGTCCATTCCTCTTCTTCCTACAACCTGGCAAATGCAGTAGTGAAGTTTCCTTAGAAGAGCTGGTGGAGAAATTCACTTAGAATCACAGAAAGACTTTTTAAGGTTGGATTGGCCAGAAAAGTCACAGGCATTAATGTTGAAGTTATATCACTGGAGATAAATAGGAAAATGCAGCTAGTTAAAGGGCCAGGCCAGATATGGATATAGAACTGAGTTAAAACTGTCTGGAAATAGGCGTGGGAGTGGAGGGTGGTCTCACACTGGTTTTCTGTCTTCAAAACATGAGTATATTCAACAATCCTTCCTATTTGGCCCCCCAGAATTCTTCATTCCTGGATAGCCCAGAAGCAGACCTGCCACTTTGTTTTGAGCAAACTGTTCTGGTGTGGATTCCCTTGGGTTTCCTTTGGCTCCTGGCCCCTTGGCAGCTTCTTCATGTATACAGATCCAAGATCAAGAGATCATCTATAACCAAACTCTATCTTGCTAAGCAGGTATGGGAACCCTGATATTTTCAAACTAATTACTTGGTGCACAATAGAAACATTTTGATGGTGGTTAAAGTGTCTTCATCCCTATTTTTAGCCAGCTTTCCTGAGATAGGTGCTCACTGGCCCCTTGCCACATTTCTTAGTTAAGGTGACTTTAATTTTTGCATAACAATAGTGACTCTTAAATCTTATTGGTATCAGACTCTTTAAACACCAATGATTAGTAATCGATCAAATAGTTATTTTTGAAATTTGAGAAACAAATACTGGATGACCTGTCTTGAAGCTGTTCTAATAAATCAGGAGACTACAATTCAGTTGGTGCCTACAATGAGATAGAAATAAAACATGTCCTCTACACAATTCAGGCAATCCAACTATCACTCATCTCCCATAACTTGGGTCTGAAATAAGGCTTCCATTTTCCCAAAGTCTAGAGTGAGGTAGGGTGAGTTCTCACAGGCACATGCCTGAGTAGGGAAATACGGAAAGAACAGGAGCTGTGGGAGAGAGCCCAGCAAGAACTAGGGAGAAGCCCACCAGCCAATGGCACTGATTAATGCCGAAAAGGCCTTGACCCAGACATTCAGCTGACGTTGCAAAGTCACCTCCTAGGGTATTATGCTAAGCAAAATTAGTCAGAGAAAGACAAATATCATATGACTTCATTCATATGCAGAATTTAAGATACAAATCAGATGAACATAGGAGAAAGGAAGCAAAAATAATATAAAAACAGGGAGGGGGACAAAACATAAGAGACTCTTAAATACAGAGAACACACCGAGGGGTGCCGGAGGCGTTGTGGGAGGGAGGATGGGCTAAATGGGTGAGAGGCATTAAGGAATCTACTCCTGAAATCATTGTTGCACTATATGCTAACTAGTGAGTAAATCAGTATCCTGTCCTGATTATAGTTACTAACCTTAAAAAACAGCTTTATTGAAATATAATTCACCAACCATACAATTCATCCATTTAGATGCAATTTTTTAAGTATATTGATATGTGTAACCATCACCACAGTCAATTTTAGAACAGAAAGAACCACCCTATATCCCCATCCTCTTTAGCCCTAAGCAACCACTAACCATTTGCTGTCTCTATAGTTTCCCTATTTTAGACATTTCATATAAATGGAATCTTAAAATAGGATGTGGTCTTCTATGATGGCTTCTTTCACTTAGCACAAGGTTTTCACAGTTCACCCATTTTGTAGCATGTATGAGTGCATCCCCCTTTTTATGACTGAATAGTATTCCATTATAAGGGTATATCACATTTTGTCTAGCTTTTATAAATACAAATCTCTATAGAGAAAAAGAAAATCAATGTATTGGCTTTTTTTTTCCTGTAGCTAATAATTCACTCACCCTTACTCATAGTCTCAGTAGCTCCTTTCACAATTTATACTTTACTTTTTGTCCTTTACCCTGAGAGTGACAAGCACAAATTAGATTCCTCTCAAAAATTTCAAAATAATTGGTCTCTTCTCTGAACAGTCCGAAGTATAATTCTTCACACAGTAAAACTTTACTTCTTCTATGAGGACCTTCTTGGCTCATTCCTCAACTTGATTTTATTTCTCCAGTTCCTCTTCCACCTACTATTTCTCTCTGAGTTTCCTGAACTGTCTACACTTGCCTGAAATAAGTCAGTTTGCTTGACCAGGACGAGAGAGTCTACATGTTTGTTTGTTTAATTTGTTGTGCATTCTTACTGAAAGGACTTGATGTACAGTAATTGAATGAACTGAATTACAAAATGAATGAATGAATGCATTCATATTCAGACCCAGGGAAATGAAAAAGGAATTTGGTTCTGTAGTTTGTGGAAATGCTGAGGTCAAAGCAAAATGTGCAACAGCAGCAAAAATGGGTGTTCAGTGGGTGTTGACCCACTGAAACATGGAAATCATCTTTAAGTGATTGCAGAATATAGCATAGAAGATTGACGGGCTTGTTCTGAAAAATTTCAGAGAGAGGAATAAGACTAGGTGGGTGTAGGGAAGTGCACTTTGGCTAAATATATTAAAGGATTTTCTAATAATACTAACTTTCTAAAATAGAATAGACTGCTGGGGGCTATACTCCCTGAAAATACTGATACTGAAGTCAGACATCTATCTGCCAGGGAAGTGGTAGAAATAGATACTCTATAATGGATAGAAAATTCAACCAGAGCGCTTGTCATTTGTAAAGCTCAGGGTAAAGGAGGACCTTGCAAAGATGGAAAGATATTAAATATGGCCAGACTGCTCGCTTGCTTGCTTTCCTTCCTTCCTTCCTTCCTTCCTTCCTTCCTTCCTTCCTTCCTTCCTTCCTTCCTTCCCTCCCTCCCTCCCTCCCTTCCTTCCTTCCTTCCTTCCTTTAATGGTAGTGAGATTGTGTCTCTTTAAAGTTTAGTAAAGTCCATGTGTGCTTGAAGCTCCTCCAATAATTCAGAGAAAAGGGACAAAGACTACTAAAGGACATGGTAATCATTAAACAACCATAATAATTCCCTGATCCTACTTAATAAAAGTGTGTGTGTGTGTGTGTGTGTGTGTGTGTGTGTGTGTGTGTTTCTGATTATAAAAATAATGCATGGTTATTGTAGAAGGTTTGAGAGCTCTAGGGAAATAGGAAGAAAATTAAATCCATTGATAATTGTTATCACTCCTATTAACTCCTATTATACTCCTGTTAACATTTTGGTATGTTTCCTGCCACTTTCTTAAAAAACAAAAAACAAAAAACTCAACAAAAAATATAAAATGAAAAGCAGAAGTCTCTTTCTCACCCTCTACCTGACAGTATCATTCTCTAGAGGCCTTCATTTAAAATTATTTTGATGGTTACCTCCATATCTGCAATTTGTGTGTTTATACCTGTATTTCTTGTTTTATCACCTTCAAAAAAGATCTATTTCTGTCCTCTGTGAAAGACAAGGAATTTGGTTGATTGGCCCTACCTTCAGTTTCCTTTTTCTTCTTCTTCCCTTTCTCTCAGTCTTTTCATTTTGTATGATTGTTTTCAGTTTTTCTGTTACCTTCATTCCTAAAAATAATCTACCATCAATTTTAGACACTACATCTTGATGCTCCTTTTGTGTCAATGAGAGAATTAGCACCCCCAAATTTCTTGGATCTGGAGAACATCCTCAAATAAAATTTTCAGAGAAAGCAACAGTGAATAAAGTCTCAGTCCTTGGTTTCTGACAATGTTTGTCAAAACAAAGTTTTTTAAACTCTGAAGATACTGCTATATTTTCCCCCAACATCCTGTGCTACTCAGTTAGACTTCTTCTCATTTCTTGTTGTCCTCTCTAGAAACTTTTATCCTCTTTATTCTTTATGTTCTGAAATTTCATGAGAGTCTGTTTACATGGCTCTTTTTTCATTCAGTGGGTTCTACACTTCCGATGTAAACACTCTTGCCTTTCTTATCGCTGAGAAATTTTCATACATTACTTCTTTCATTTCCTTTCCTCCAGTTTTGAAATTCCATCTTTTCAGAACTACTTTCAGGTGGATTTTGAGCACTGAATGGATTTTCCTTTTCAACTTCTCTCTCTCTTTTTAAATTTCTTTTTCTTGCTCTACCCAAGTTCTAAGATAGTCCCCAGTTTTTTCCTCCAGTCATCCCAATTTTTTCTTCCAGCCTTTGTTTTCACAATTGTGGGTTTGGTTTCTAAGAATTATTCTTAATTTCTGAATATACTTTTTTAAAATGTTTATTTTTGAGAGAGAGAGAGAGAGAAAGAGAGAGCAGGGGCAGGGCAGAGAGAGAGACAGGGAGACACAGAATCTGAACCAGGCTCCAGGCTCTGATCTGTCAGCACAGAGCCTGACTCGGGGCTTGAACTCACCACCTGCGAGCTGCGAGATCATGATCTGAGCCAACATCAGATGCCCAACCAACTGAGCCACTCAGGCACCCCTAGTTTTTTTTTTTAAACATCAACCTATTAATGGATGCAATGTATTGTCAAATCTGTTATAGGACATTAATTTTTTAATAATTTAAAATTGTCTTCTCTTCACTTAATAATTTGTTTTATCCCAGAATCAGTTGTCCTGTTTAATTATCTTGGCTATCTTCTTTGCTAGTATTGGCTTTTCTCAACTTTTTTTTTTTTTTACAAATAGTTTATTGTCAAATTGGTTTCCATATAACACCTAGTGCTCATCCCCACAAGTGCCCTCCTCCACGCCCATCTCCCCCCTCCCCCCCCACATCCATCAGTCATCAGTTTGTTCTCAGCATTCAAGAGTCTCTCATGGCTTGCCTCTCTCCCTTTCCCCCACCATTTCCCCCCTTCTTCTCCCCCATGGTCCTCAGTTAATTTCCTCCTAATCCTCCTATACGTGCAAACATATGTTATTTGTCCTTCTCTGCTTGACTTATTTCTCTCAGCATAACACCCTCAAGGTCCATCCATGTTGCTACACATGGCCAGATTTCATTGTTTCTCATTGCCATGTAGTATTCCATCGTATAGATAAACCACATCTTCTTGATCCATTCGTCCGTTGATGGACACTTAGGCTCTTTCCATGTTTTGGTTATTGTTGAGAGTGCTGCTATGAACATTGGGGTACATGTGCTCCTTTGCATCAGCACTCCTGTATCCCTTGGGTAAATTCCTAGCAGTGCTATTGCTGGGTCATAGGGGAGTTCTATTGTTAATTTTTTGAGGAACCTCCACACTGTTTCCCAGAGGGACTGTACCAGTTTGCATTCCCACCGACAGTGTAGGAGGGTGCCCGTTTCTCCACATCCTCACCAGCATCTAGAGTTTTCGGATTTGCTCATTTTAGCCACTCTGACTGGCTAAAGTGAGATGGTATCTCAGTGTGGTTTTAATTTGTATTTCCCTGATGAGGAGGGATGCTGAGCATCGTTTCATGTGTCTGTTGGCCATCTAGATGTCCTCTTTGGAAAAGTGTCTGTTCATATCTTCTGCCCATTTCTTTACTGGGTTGTTTGTTTTTTGGATGTGGAGTTTGGTGAATTCCTTAT